TTGCAAAAATAATAGTTTGACAGACCTTGTGTTTTAAAGACATATATTACTCTAAAATTGTTTCTATTTTATATATTACTTTTATGGTAGTATGAAACTTATTTGTTGGAAGGAAAACTTTAGTATCGGGATAATGATACATGTACGGGTGTCAAATTGAGTCAACCCGGCTCATAAAGGTTGGGTCACTACGAGTTGAGTTGAAAATAGACGAGCTTAATCTGACTCACTTTATGACAAGCCAGAAATTTCATAATCTAGCTCAATCCCACTACGGATTGGTGGGTTGGCTTACTAACCCAAATTTTTTTTTCTAATAAACATGATTGAATCATGAGACTGCAACGCAATGACGCGGTGACCCATCAAACACTGTAATGCAATTGAAATGCGACAAATGCTATGGTATAACTGAAACACGATGGTGTGGTGTCGCGACGAACGTAATGGTGTGGCGAATATGGTGGTGTGACAAACATTATGGCGCGATTGAAATGCAAGACTGAAACACGAATGAAATACGAGACTGAAATGCAATAACGTTGTAACGTAATTGAAACGCATTGGTGCAATGAACACAGTGACATAGTGGTGCGGTGAAAGGATGATAAGTGGCCCAGATGTAGTAATAAAAGTAGTGGTGTGGCAAACAATTGATGATAAACTTGAGTGAGAGTTTAACTTGTAATGGTAGCATGGAATAAAGGTGGAGAGACAAAAATAACATGAATTACTAAATTATTATAATTATTTTTAAAATTTAAAATGAATGTCAACTCACCATAACTCGGCTCGAACTCGCTTAACTCCTGGAATAAGTGAGTCATATTCATTTTTAACTCATTATCGATAGAAATAAAAAAAAAAAAAAATCAAACCAACCCACCCGACTCGAATCCCAGGTTGGCTCACATGTTACAACCTGTATTCACACTTCTAGCTATAAATTTTATATATTCTCGTTAGAAAATATTTATAAGGTGTAACTTTAGCTTTGATCTTATATTTACTCGTGAGTTTCTCTTTCTCTTCCTCCTTCTTCGTTCAATATCTCCATCTTCTTCTCTTATTAGTTTATTTCCTCTCTTTTTTTCTATACTTCTCTCAATTTTAATTTTCTTCTCAATTCTTTTTTACTTCTCTACTTAGTCTCTTTTTCTCTCTACTTTTTCTTCTTCTTCTTTTTTTTTTTCTTTTATCCCCTTATGAATAAAGGTAAGTATGACTAATGACAAGTATGATTAATTGGATAAGTTTCCTTCTAAGAGTTTGGACAAAGTAATATATACAAACTTTGGCATTGATTTAGGTAATTAAATAATTCATGCCCAATTTGTAAAGACAGAAATAAAGGATATAATTGAGTGAGAATAATAATGAAACAGTTGATTGAGGTAATATATTTTTTTTATTATTATTATGGAATAAGAATCCAAATTAAAAAGAATTTATTATCACTTAAATTAAAAGAGTTTTGATTAAAAAATTATTTTTTGTCACATAAATGTTAATTCTTGTACATGTTATAGTAAAAGTACAAATATGTAGTATTTTGAATTAGTATTAACGATGAGAAAGAAAAAAAAGTTCAAAAAAAATCATATAATAATTTAAATAAATAAATAAAATAAAACAACGATACAAATATAATTTACTCTTTGTCAAGTCACTCTTTAACAATTTTTACTTTATCCATTGAAATGTTTCCACTCTTATTTTGCTCTCATCCTTCCTTAAATACAAAAAGAGAAAACTCTTAATTGATTTTGACCTTCTGATTTTCAACTTTAGTTGCTCTTATGTTAAAGTTTAATAATATTTTAATTTTATGGAGAGTGACATATCTCTTGGCATGAATCTCAATGCTTCTTTTGTCTACCCATCTAGTTTTCACTCTTGTTCTAACTATCATCATTGTGAAATAGAAAATAACTCACCAACAAAACCTACTTCACAGGATTCTTTCAATGATACATGGGTTTCCATTTTTTATTAAATTAAACTATCAATCCATTAATGAATAGTTATTGAGTCACCACTCCATTTATAAAACTCCCGTTCACAACTGAACAACATCAAGAATAATACTTTTCCTAATTTCACAAATACATGTATTTATCTTTATTTCTAAAAAATTTCAAGATCAAACAATTAATTTTTTTAGATTAAATTATTCTCCAAAGAACCATGACTTGAACATGTTGAACCTTCTAGATCCTACAATCAACAACTTAAAATATTAAAGAATTAGTTAGAATAAAGTAAAGAAATGACAATACTTTACAAAGATGATAGACAAAATGTAGAGAAAATTGATTTTCTAGCAATCTAAGACATAATTGAAGATGAAATTTAAGACGAAATATACATATTGGAATATGTATCACATTAAAACCTTAAACTTAATTTATGCATGGAGAATTTTAATTGAAGGATATATTGTTACATGACAATCAATCCTATGTTTGTGTGTCATTGTGAGCACGACTTTGAAGATAAAGCGAGAGTTACAAATATGAAGAGGTTAAGATAACGAGCGACAAATATGAAGATATTGAGCATGAAGTTATATGGATTGCAAACAAGACTGTGGTGCGAGAAGTAAAACTTAGAGATAAACGCGAGGAAACGATTTGCAAAGGATCAAGAACAAGTAAAAAGTTTCATACCTCATTTTCTTAAGCCTAAAACTTATGAATATTTACTCTTACTTTCAAGTAATTTTTCACCAAATTTATACAAATAAAAAATATTACATTTTTACTTGTAATTTATTCTTTTCCTCCACAAAATATTTTGTAAAATTTTATAATTATTCATAGAAATAAATTTATGAAAATTATTTATAGATAATTAAGTGTGAAATAACAGTTAGTTTTGAAAACATTAATTCTCTTTACTTTTTTAATATATGACATTTATTTTAATATTTTTAATAAAATGAAATTATTTCTCTTTTTTTAAAGATAATCAAAATTTAATTAAATAATAAAAATTAAAGTTTTGAATTATTTAATTATGGACAAATTACATCACTTTACCGAGGTTAATTAAAATAATATTTATACTTTTTCTAGTTTTAAAATAGATATTTGTATATTATATATGTCATTAATAAAATAACACTTTAATTATTTATTTATTTTTATTTTTATACTTATATTTTTTTCATCAATTTATATTTTAATTAAAATTATATTTAAATAAAATATTAAATTAATAAATTTAATCATATATTTTATAATTATTTTTTTATTTTATATTAAAACAATTTTTTTCAAAAATATATTATTTTACAAAACTATTTATAATTAAGTGAAAATATAATTTCTATAGAATATTGTTAATATAATAATTACATTCATTTGTTTTTTTATATAAATTACTTAATTTTACATTTTATAGTTCTTATTTAATATTAATTAATATGTTATCTTTAAATAACGTAAAAGAGATAAGTAATACTTAGTTTAAAACATAAGTGTCATTCTATTGAAATCATAATGTGAATTAAAAAAATGAGGATATAATTATTGATAAAAATACAAGGGATATAAATAATATATTTTAAATTAGAAAGTGTAAACTTATTTAGCATAACTTCGAAAGTAGTAATTTTGTCTAAAGTTAATTGTCATTCAAAAAGGATTATTTTAATTGAAGATTAAAAAAAACAAAAGTAAGCAAGGAAATTTTCCTCTGCTGTTTGTAAATAATGTCTAAGATAACCAAAATGGAAGTAATTCACCTATTCCTTCGTTGTCTATATAAAAGAAAAATGACACTATTAATTTGTTTCTCTATTAGAAAAAACACACTTGCTTTCCTTTTATATTTTTATTTTTTAAAATTTGTTTGTTCTTTTTTTATAAGATTCCTTTCAAATAATTCATTGTACTAATAATTTTTCGTAATGCCCCCTGATTTATTTCATGACTTAGTAAAGTCTCACATAAAAGCCACATAAATAATTTTTTTAAGTTGAAGTTTTATTTTAAAATATAATTTAACTTTAAAAAATTAATGAAAGAATATTATTAAAAAATAAAAAGTCAAAACACCACTTTTTTTATTATAAGACGTGTTTCAAAATAAGCTTATTAATATCTTATTTTTTTAATTTACTTATTTCGATAATTATTTAAAAATATACTCTTTATATAATAATATTAATGGAAATATAAACGTGTGTTAACATTTTTTTTGTATTATTAATTTTTTAAAATTTTATTATTTTATTATTTTTTAGATATAAATCACTTTTTTCAATTATTATATTACATTTTTTTCTTTTTTTTTCTATTATTTCCTTAAATATATATAATTCATAATAATTATTTTTAGTATTTTATCTTTTTATACATAATCTTATATTTAATAAAAATAATATTATATTATAAATGATGAGACCGTCTTTACTGGAAATGTATAGAAGCTATTCTGAATTACGTAACTCCTTGTATATATTTTTTTCTTGACATGGCTAAATTCATTCAAATTATATTTATGTTCTGTATAAATCATTTATTTTATTTTATTTTTTTAAGTTATAATTTTAAATTGATATTTTATGATTAAAAAAGTTTAATAAATCTTGATAAAGAACACAATTAATTTATTCTAACTAATGTTATAATTGATATTAAATAATATTTGAGAAAATTTTCTAAAATATAGTAATGATGGTATCCATAAGTATTGCCGATAATATTAAAAAAACGGATTAGAGTTGATCCTAGGAGATTAGCACTGAAAACCATTGGAATTAAGGAACCGTGATCAATAATAAACCATATTAAAGAACTAATTATCAACATGTTGAGCAATAATACGTTTACAATACAATATTAGTTGCGGATTTGTTACAATTTTGCAAAGGCATACAATATTGTAATGTCTCTGACCAGAGAGAATAGGGGAAAAAAAATGAGAGAAGAGAAGCTGAATTTGGAAATCAAAAAACAGAAGGAAAAGGAGTATAGAGAATTGGTCAACTCTAATTACACCTTGTCATCGTTCTCACTGGTTTCCACCTCCATTGTTGTAGGCCTTCTTCTACAGAGAGAAATCATGAACATCCACATGAGACCTTTCACAACCCTCACCATCCCAATTGTCACAATGAGATAATACAACCACCATCCAATAAAATCACCAATTCCCACATCCATCATTTGCTCATTCTTCACTTGGCCAACAACCACCAGAGTCTCCACCTCCTCCCTCAACCTCCACCACCACAAGGTGCCCAAGCCCGCAGCCAGGCCCGCCCTCTCCACCCACCTCTCTTTTCGAGCCCCTCCGAACACAGTGTCGTCCACGACGGGCCTCACCACCATCCGACACCAAACGTGGGTCGTCTCGTGCAAGCCCAACAGAAAATTCATCCTGCTCAGCAGGCTTCTCTCGGCGCCGGAACTGGACACGTCATCATCGTACTCATAAAGCCCAGCCGCAATGCTTTCCTCGATGCCCAAACCAACGCAAACTTGGAACGCGCAAAGGAGAATCCACGCTAAAGAGAGACATGAGGACTTGGACGGTGTCTGACTAAAAATTGTGTTTTTTTCACCCATGAGCCCCTGGATCAGGGTCCCTACGCTCACAATGGAAACCAGAACGTAGAGAATACATGGGTTGATGTGGAGGGCGAGGTGGAAAAGATAGGGAAAGTGTTGTGGTGAGTATTGGAACAGAGTTAGGGTCTGAAGGTAATATTGGGCAGCAGAGAGAGTGGCTAAGAGAAGGAAAGACAAAGGAAGGAGGAGGCTGAGGATTGTGATGGTGAGGAGGTAGAAAACCTCTCTTGGGCTGAACAACTCTTTGGCTTTTTTCTTCCAACCCATTATTTGCTTCCAAGCACCAATCATCATGAATGATTCCAACTAACACTACACCCTCTTTGCTCTTTATTTACAAGCCACGGGAAGTTCAACTTTAAGCTCTCTCTGTTTGCGACTTAACAACCATTTTCTGGACCTCAAATTTTAAAGTGGTTGCCACGTCCATTGCTTCCTTACTTCAAATTTTATATATACGACATGCTCTTCATCATCACTCTTTTTATATTTATTTCTATTTGGCCTAATTAAATATACATATATCTACATGACTTCTAAAAAAATTCCCTGTTTACTTATTTATCTTTTGGCATTGGTTTGGTACAAATGGAATACTGCTTTGAATAATCGTATTGTGTTTGGCTGCAACTGCAAGTTTGACGGATGAGTGGAGCCACTTTGAATTTTGAAGAACTCCTCTTCGCCAGTTTCGTCGCTTTACCATCTTCCCTTGTCATGAAGCCTTTGGATTTAATACTAAATACTTACTAATTTCACTCAGATTTACTTCTACAAATAATTAATATGTCTAGTTATTTATGTTATTATGTCTTTTCTCCATGTTCATCTGCATGATAAATTGTATCTTGTCTATTTATTATGCTGTCATGCCACTAAGTTTAATATAGTCTTTATTAGTATAGGAGATAGTAATTTGGTATCTTGTTGTCTTGATTTTATCTGAAAATGATGGCTGTCACCATATTGATCAACCATACCTGAAGTTACCATAAACATCAACTGTGAACCAAAACCTTTCACTTTTTTGCTTGAATTAGATATAATTGCAGTTGAAGTTGCTAAGTCCAATGGGAGTTGGATTTGTATCTCATATAGATATTTAGTTTAAAGTAGGGATCTAAATCAAGTCATAGAGTTCAATCCATTCTCTGTTAAATGTAACCTAGGCTAAATGCAATTTTACTCCTTTCTTCTTCACCTCATACCAAACATTTTTTTTATAATATAAATCAAATTTTATGGAATTTCATGGTTACGCAAATTGGACGAATAAAAAAATTAAAACAATTGGGTACCAACTTGATTTATCATGAAAGTCAGAAGAAGATGCAAAAATCAATGTTACAATTTGACTCGATGTGGATATCCTTTTTCAGACCACCATCAAACTGAAGTAGTGATTTTTAAAACCAAACGAAACTGGTTAATATAGTTCGATCAATTCATAAATGCTGCTGCTAAATTGAAAAGGACTTTGTCTCTACTATAATCATAATCGATGTCGCAGTCCAGAGTTTAAAATTTATATGGATACTAACAATAATTTAATTAAGGAGATACGTATAGATTATTTATTTTCCTCTTCTTATATTTGCTTTGACATCTTCTAATGATCCACCAATAGCTACAATGAATGTTTGAAAAATAAGATAAAGTCATCTTTGAATAACAAAATAAACAACAAAATGATCCACCAATAGCTACAATCTTATTTTTGGTGAAACTCTAATGATGAAAAGTGATATTTGCTCAAACATTGTTATCACAAACTCTCTAAAGATTTAAGATAAAAATGCATAGAATATTTGGAGAAAAAAAATAGTGTAATTATTTATAAAAATATAAAAGGAAATATCCGTTATGTTAGTGTTAAGTAGGTGATGTGGGCCCCAGTATGCAAGAACATTTATTGTATGGTATGCGACCCAACATTCCTGTAACGAGAAATAATAAAAGTCAGAAGTGGGTTTGTTTATAACCCAATTCACGAAACATAATAAGTGTTTCTTTTTTTTTTTGTATTATAGCATAAAAGAGTCTGAACATGAATATCTCTATGAACAATTTATTTAGGCTTTCTGTGTTTTCCAATAGGAAAATGTGTATGGAACAAGGTAATTTTGAGCTAATAAAATCTTCACTCGTAAGGGTGAAAATAGGATGGTTGTTCAATCAAAATGGTCTAACTCATTTTTCAAAAGAAAAAGCATATTAGGTTTTTTAAAAGGTCTAGTGAAGTACAAATGGTCAATTGTAAGTATTTCAAAACCTAATAAACTTGATAGATTAACTTATTTATAAATAATATTATGTATTGTACAAAACAATATAGAAAACAAATAATTACATCTAATAGACTTTGTTTCAAAATAAGATTTTAAACAAAATCATTAATTAATTTAGGTTTTACAAAAATGCTTGTTAACGATATTAATTAGTGAACCATATGTTTTAATTAGATAAAAATAGTTATCTTAAACCTACCTAAGTATGGTTAATTTGAGTTCATTTCTTACTCGTACAATATGTAATGTAGATCCGTGTCGAACCTAAGATCTTAAGCCAGTAAAGTAATTTATTTTTCAAGTCAACTGGTGTATTGGTATATTTTTAACTACACATAGATTTATCATAGAATAAAGATCAATGGTTTCAAATATATAAGATTAGGGGTTAAAATAAAAAATTTTCATATACTTAATAATAATTCTAAAAAAATAAGGGATGCATATGTATACTCTTGTATATATATAGGTCCTTACTCTCATATATATATATATATATATATATATATATATATATATATATATATATATATATTTTTTTATAATGATATTAATAGGTTTTATTGCACAAGATTACAGGTTTCAAAGCTATACAAATATTTATACAAAAAAATCAATTCTTTAAAAAAATTATAAAAAATAAATAAGCTTTATTTTAAATTTTTTTGTAAGAATTAATGGTTGAGTTCAAGAGGAGGGTGAATTGAACTTTAGAAATCTTTTATGAAAAACACTCTTTCTTTGTGGAAGAATGATTAATCTTTATCCAATCTTTTATTAGGCAGATTTGGTTTTGTTGAAAGTTCCACATCGCCTACCTCATGTCATTTTGTATGGTTTAAATACATGTTAGGCTACTCCACATATTGTCAAATTGGTTTTATGTTGGAACCTTAACATGGTATCAGAGCCAAAGCCTAATATCTTTCCGGTTATTGTCATGGGTCAAAAGTACCCTTTGCCTGGTCCGGCAGGCTTCGTTGGAGGGGGTGTGTTGAAAGTCCCACATCGCCTACCTCATGTCATTTAGTATGGTTTAAATACATGTTAGGCTACTCCACATATTGCCAAATTGGTTTTATGTTGGAACCTTAACAGGTTTTAAACAAAGCAAGAATATAAACTAGAAATGAAAAGAGATGAAAGCAGAAATACAACACAAGAGTTTATACTGGTTCACTCTTTCCAAGAGCTACATCCAGTTCTTGACAAATCTGCCAAGTTCCACTAATACCAAGTGTAGATATACACCAATCTACCCAAAGAACTACCTTACAACACCACAAGATAGACTCTTGAAAAACCACCCAGCAACCAAACCCAGTTATTGTAACCAGTGCAGATTCAAACCCAATCTACACAATTAGAATTTGTACAAGTATATGAAAAGAATAAACCTGGACTGCAGCTTTTACAATATAGAAGTCCAGAAGCAATTTTTCTAACTCAGAACTTTCTCTCTTGAAGATCTTTCAACAATCTTGATCAAAACGCCTTATGATATGAAATGTTTATGAATGCTCAGATAAAAACACGAATATGAGAGCTCCAAGATTGCTTTCAATCGTTTTCCAAATTGTATATTTGAAAGAGAAATCAAAACTGTATTTATAGAGTAAAAGAGAGAGACTGATAGTTTCAATCGATTTAAAATGATGTTTCAATTGATTGATTTCATTTAAAACTCATTCAATCGGTTAATTCGAGCTTTTAATGGATTGAAACAGTTAGAAGAAAAATGGTAGCTCTCTGTTTCAACAGATTAAAATATATTTCAACAGATTGAAATTCTAAGATACCTTAAAATGAAAAATGATATCTTTCTGTTTCAACATATTAAAATTTATTTCAACAGATTGAAATTACGAGATACTTTAAAATGAAAAATGACATCTCTCTATTTCAACAGATTGAACTTGATTTCAACATATTAAAAATCTGAGATACTTTTGAAATGAAAAATGGCTAGAACATTTTAATCTATTGATTTATCAATTCAACATATTAATACTGCGAAACCCTTAATATGAAAAACCATCAAGAACATTTTAACCGGTTGATTCTACGATTCAATGAATTAAAATTTTGGCTATATATATACATTTCCTATTTTAAGTGATTTTAACATATTGAAACTGCTTTAACATATTAAAAAACTCAGTTTATTCTTTCAAGGCTTAAAGATTGATTTTTCATGCAGTAAGATAAATTCTATGAAATGCAACATTTATAGGCATTTATCATAAGATCTACTGAAATTATCAAGAGATTAAATTCTAAACCTATAACCTATCTACCTACACACCCACAAAATAAACTCTATAAACTCTATATGTCTTCATCAAATCCAACAAGTGCTTCATATTTTTCTTTCCAAACAAAGACAAATTCAAGACTGATTTATTTCTCTCCATATTTCTACACAAATATCTTTATATAAAAATTAAATTTTATTAATTCACCCATTAATTTGTAATCCCATACTATCATATAATCATTTATATTAAATTTTATTAAAATTAAACAATATTAATTAGATGATCAAATATTTTATACTTAGTATATTTTAAGATAATTAAATTTATTTTTATTTATATAAATAAAGTATGAACTAATTTTAGATTAATATAAATTATATATAAAAAATTAATCGAAATTTTCAATTCAATTAGTTTTAAAAAAACTTGATTTATTAAAAATATATTAAATGGTATAATTTATATTTGACAAAAGTTATACTGATATAATATGATTCTATCATAACGGGAAACACATATTAAAGGGGTTTATATTTTTTTATAATTAAATTTTTTAAAATATCATTTAAAATATTATTTTATTTCTTCTTTTATTATTTAAATATATAAATGATAATAATAGTTTTTTAATTATGGTATTTTTTTAAAATTATATATATATATATATATATTATTTATTTTTTAAATTGCATATTGAAGTTCTATGTGGTAGGTGCGCCTACATATCTGCAAAAATCCCAGAATCATAATCCAAACACGATGTGGTGCTTGATTATTTTTCTATAAATTGATCCTTGATTCGTCTAGACGATGGTCGAGAGAATTTTTTAACATTGTTACAGAATAATTAGTAAAAAATTATTTTGAACTAACTAAACTCATTTTTAGGTTATGTATAATGTTAAAGAAAAGTATAAAGATAAAATTAAATAAAAAAAATATAGAACAATTTACAGATTATAAATGAAAGGAAGTTTAACTTCAAAATGCCTGAGCACAATTAAGAAATAAAAAATAGAAAAAATCATAGGCTGCGTAAATATTTTTTATTTCTAAAACTAAAATCAAATTAAAAATAACAATTTTTAATTCTTATAGTACAGGAAGGCTAATAAAACTTGAAAAATGCATATACATAATTAATGTTACGTGCAGTTGTAAGTGATCAAAGTTGACGATGGAAAGTGTCTGTCAGCATTTGGTGACTTTTTTTCAGTCTTAACTGCCAATGATTTCATCCATACGCGGATATTATGAGGATTAAGCATCCACATATTCGGCTAAACAAAATTAAGTACTTGATAATTAATATTGTCTCTTAAATAAAAAATAACTACCAAAGCAATTTAATTACTTTCGTTAATGTGTATAGATTTTTTTTTATGTTTTTAAAAATATTTTATGGGGTTATGTAGTTTGAGAATTGTATTTTTCTTAAAATATCATAAATGCATTTGATACGTATGAAATATTATTTTTAATCAGCGACAATATTATAACACACGATGGTGTTGTTATTTAATTTGTAAAGTGTAATCTTACTCCCCAAGAGTTCGGGCTCCGGCACCTTTCAAGCCCAACCATCATTTTTTGGGTCCATTTTTAAGCCCGACTATGTAAATTGATTAAGGCCAGTTTACAGTCATTATTTTCTGTGTTCATTGTCAAAGAAAACGAAAAATAATAATAATATTATTGATAGTACGTTTAGTTCATAGTTTTTTATAGGTAGAAATTGAATAAGTTTAGTTGATAGTATGAAAATATGAAATCATTTCCTGAACTGAAAATGAAAAATGATTGTTTCTACTATTTTCTTTGGAATAACATCAAGATATTTGTAAGACTTAATCATGTTTCTAACGGTATAAAATAATTGAGTTTTGATTTTGATTTTTTAATTATTTATTTTCTTTATAAAACTAAAATCTATCACTTTAATTATGATATTAATTAAATAAATATTCTAAGATATTAATGTAGCAATATAATATCAACATATATCATCCTAAAATAATCTTAAAATTTATAAATAAATGTCATCCATTTATCTTAAATAAATACTAAAAATTAAAAATAGTTATTTAGACTGTTAGAAGGATAAAAATAAAAGAAAAATATTTACTAAGTACTAAATTAAAATTTAAATATCTCATAAGCACTACAAAAAGTAATTTCAACTTTTAATAGAAAAAAAATAAAGATATTCCTAAGATTTAAAATCCATCTCTTAATCTTCTTCACCTTGAGAGTACTCTTCCATGGCTGATGATTGAAGAACGTCGCACTAACTATAGTCATCCATAGCTGCAGGTGACAATCAAATATAAATTGCAAAATGCGAGGCAAATATAGTTGTAGGTACACAATAAATATTATTTGAGTATAACATAGTTCATATAAAAGCTTATAAAGTCACTTTTGAGACAAAAAACTTTATTGGAGATTTGTGCTAATAATTTTAAAAGAAAAAGGCATTCACGTTAAAATCAGTGTGTAGTCTAAGCAAAAAATGACATTTTGTTCCTTTCAGTGATCAAGAAAACGTTAGAGACAGATTGACAAAAACTATTTGTGTTATAATAGTGTTATTATTTTAATTATTTTGTCTACCTTAATCATCGTCATCAAATTCAACAATGACTACCAGTGTCCGGTATTTCGTTTCATTGATAAACAAAGCACTAAGCATATCAATATCAGATCATCAGAAAAAGAAAAAACTTGAAGGAAAAATTACATTCGGGATCCATTACTTAAAGAACCTTCTGTCAGTATAAATTCTAAAGCAACAAAATAGAGGTATCAATTTGAACTCATTTTTGGACATGGACATAGATATCAACATCCGTTAAAAAGTTCAGTTGAACTCAGCAACCAAAAACATCTTACAGTTTAACCCTATTCTTTTTATACCTTGGTAACTAAAGTGCAACAATCTCGTGTTCAAACACTAGCTCGATCTTTACCCTCTGCTGCAGCCTCTAATGGCTGGAGAGCTTTGAGAGGATTCATAATCACTCCATCTATGAGTCCATATTCCTTGGCTTCTTTTGCACTCATAAAAAAGTCACGGTCTGTATCCTGGTTGATCTTCTCTAAACTTTGGCCAGTGTGATAAGAGAGATATCCATTCAGGTTTGCCTTGTGATGCAGCATTTCATTAGCCTGAGCATTTTGAATCATAATCAGTTTTCTCCAACAAGATATTGTAACAATTATGAATATATGTGAACAAAATTGTAATAAATCAAGTAAATTCTACATTTTCCTTTGGTAAGGTCATGCAGAGTGTCACTTATTGCAACGGTGTTCGTAATCAAAACTAATGGAACTGTCTGATTCAATCCAATCTAACGAAATGCTGGGTAAATCCACAAGCATGTGCGGAATGGAACATAAATAGCAGGTTAATATAGGGAAGAAATCATAGGATATTAGGGGTATGGAATATAATGTATGAATAGACAATTCATTAAGCAATTTGTATACTTAAATTTAGGCTATTAGCAAATTCACAACATAATTAGGCATTCATCTTCATTTAAATTAACTCATTCGAATCTAACTACCACTGTGAGATTCTAGTTCTCTACGAAGAAACTTAAGTATATAACTTTTAGAAGTACACATGACATTTGTTCAATTAGAATTAAAAGGATGAAAATGAGGCTTATACCTGAATATCTATGTCAGTTTGCCCTCCTTGAGCACCACCAAGCGGTTGATGTATCATTATCCTTGAATTTGGCAAACTGTATCTCTTCCCTTCAGAAGTGAAAGAAAAAAAAAAGGGATTTAAAGTTAGAAAGAAGAATTTTCATTTTTGGAGTAGAGATGACATAATTATCAAGAGAAAGAGAGTAGCCAGGTGGATACAATGATTTCAAGTTACAAGAGTTATTACCAATGGTCCCTGCGCTAAGCAGAAAAGCTCCCATACTGCATATGATGAGGTCTATATAAGTATGAATGGGAAATAAAATATCTTCAACGAGAAAAGATAAATAACTGTAGCATACAATCTAAAATCAAGCACTTCTCATTGTCAAATTATCAATTCTGATGTGATTTTCAATTCTTGGTGAATAAAGGCAAAACCTAAAATTTTTAGTTCAATAGTTAATATTATCTTCAACAACGCTACCAGTCCCATTTCACTATATGAAGGTAAAAGGAATAAAAAAGGGAAAATCACAACTGCACTCGCTTTACTTTCACAATGTTACTTGGGAACTAATACTATACTGGAAAATTGGATAAAAGGGCTATAATATAATATAACTGACAACATGACAACTACCAATGGAGTAGATAATTTAAAATGAAATGCAGCAGACTTTAAATAAACAGGGTGATAGGGAAACTATTTGTTCTCAAGATTGACATTTGACTAATCCTGAAGCCAGTGTGAACTCATATATATATCATCTACAAACGTTGTGATAAACCAAAGATTAAATGAGAAGATGGATATGGTATATTTTATTTTGTTTTTATTAATTGGCCTTACCAGGGTGGATATACAAGTGAATAGTGATAGGGACAATACAAGTTAAAAAAAGGGTCAAGGGGACAACCATCCAAAATAAAGAAAGAAATACAAATAAAAATTAATGACATGATTTTAAAGAAAGAACTATTTTTTTTAAAACAAATGATATACAAAATTTTAATATAATTAATAATTAAACATCTTAATTCTTCTAGTATTTTCAGCAAAAATTAATAAATCAATCTGTTCTGCTGGCATACACCAAAACGAATTGGGATAAAACTTTTGGCTTTCTACTGATATGGATAACCAGTAACCTGTCAGCATTAGAGTAATATTGTCCAGAAAAAGAACAAAATGTTACCTAGCCGCTAATCCAACACAAACAGTAGACACGTCAGGTCGAATGTGCCTCATTGTATCAAATATTGCCATACCTGAGGAAAAAATAACAAATGAAGCATTTAACATTTGAAATACAATAAAATTCTTTTTGAACCCATGTGTAGATTGAATATAATAAAAACAATGCAATTTAGTATCAACTGAAATAATTACCAGCTGTAACCGAGCCACCTGGAGAATTTACATACATGACAATATCCTGTTCAAAAAATCAGAATATTGGTAGTTGACTAAGTGCGGTCACAAAAGAACCGAGTTTATTACACAACAGAAAAAAAGAATACAAATTAAAGATAATAATCACATCAAAATGAAGAAATACCAAAATATAACCATCTGGCATCATCTTAAAAAAATGCATCGGAACACTTACTGTGGGGAAAGATTAAGAATATAAACCATGAGTTTCAATGACTAAGAACAAACCTTGGTAGGATCAACAGCATCAAGGTACAGAAGCTGCGCAACTATGATATTTGCCATATCGTCATCAACAGCTCCACCACAACGGATTATTCTCTAAATACCAAAACAAAACATTGATACACAGATTAAACAGAAGCTAAATACTCAACCTCAAGAACAAATAGTAAAAGATGCCTACATATTGGAAAAGCTGACTTATAACGCTCTGGAAACGCTCCTGCACCATGGGGGGTGGCCCTTGTCCTTGTGCATAGGCAGGGAAATAAGGGGAAGATGGGACTTGCAAATCACTCCTTCAAGAACATTATCCAAGTCAATAAATAAGACTAAGCTAAAAGATAAAACTAATAACAAAACCAAATCTACCTTATGGACCAAATATCCTGACGTGAACTCCTCTCAGGTGTCCAAAATTCATCACCATCCACTGCCTTCACAGAAGAATTTTTATTAATCTTTCTAACTTCTACTGATTTCCTTAGTTTCCTGCACACAATAGCAAGGCTTCATCCGCTTGATAGACATGAATATATCCAGCATAACATAGAATATTCTAGTTTCTTCCATGTTCATTGCCGTTTTTGTTTTAAAAGGGAAATTTAACGACAAATAAAAGGTGGATAATAACAATTCAAGCTTTAGCTACCAAAATTTTAAAAACCCTCGCTCACAGCAGAACCACCCTAAATTAATCATGTGGCTCAAGAATAAGGCACTTTGAAATTTTATCATGACATTTTTATCAAACTATTTTTCAGTTCGAAACATAACCCAAAAGTGACAAAATCTCACTTTCACGCTTACCCATCAGCATAAAAATTTAGGGTCATCTTCCACAAATCCGGTGACCTGAATTCTCTAAAATAAACAAATAGGCAAGCAATAAAATCCAACCCCAACAAATAGAAAAGCCACAGACTCACAGATAAGTCATCAAAATGTAAACTTAACGGCAAAATCACTTTTACAAAACGAACAGTACATGGGTGCCATAAACAAATTGATTAATAATAAAAAAATAAAATAAAAAATACCTGGAGAGGGTAGGAAAAGAAAGGTTGTTGGAAAGAGAAGAAGAAGAGGGAGTGGAGGACAGAAGAAGAGGGTTGAATCTGAGAGAGGAAGAGGGAGTGAAAAGGGATGTGTGCGCCATTGTTAATTGGTGGATGAAAATTAAGGTACAATGATAAGAGTGTTTGTTTAGCAAGGAGAACAAGAAGAATAGGGACAGCGGAGTTGAGTGTTGGGGAAAAACTTGTCGACAGTGAACTCAGCCCAGCGTTTGTTCGTGTCGAGGGAAAAAAAAGACTCAAGCTGTACCCTTCCTCTACCTATCATCAGGTCAAAAATAAATAAAAGATAATATCATCGTAAATATCTTCTTTTATTTCGCAAGGTAATTTAGTAGTAACAGATTAATATTTTAAATTATAAAACACAAGTTATTTGGAAACTCTTTTTCTAGAGAATTTTTTTATAGAGGATTTACTAACTTACAAAATTGAATTTCGATAAGTGAGAGTCATATATTATATAATTTAAATATATTTTACCTACAATTATTACTATACTCATAATTATGTATTTGTCAAATTTTGAATATATAGTGAGAGGCATAAATATGTCTTTTGTGTCAAAATTATATGTACAAAATAATTAAGAAATCAGTTTTAGTAAATATTTTTAATTCAATATGTTAGCTTATTAATTTTTAATTCTAACTATTTGAAGCTGAAAATTTACAAATTTGTTAAGGGTTTTGCGGGTTGATATACTAACAAATCCAAGTATTTGCTAAAATTAATTATTAATTTTGTTTAATTAATTTAATAAGATAAAAAATTAATATTTTATTAATTTAGTTAAACATATTATAAATAAAAATTTAACTTTTTAATATTTATTTTTATAAAGTTATTATTTATCAACAAACATTTGTTTTTTATATATATTGTTCTAAGTTCCACATTTTATGTTTATATTTTTCAAGATTTAAATCTATCTATTATATCCAGCAAAACGTAAAATAGTTTTGACTAATCAAACTTTTAATATAGTAAGTTTTTTTTTCTCTCATTTTGATTTGTGTGTGATACCTATATTATAAGCACGTGACTCTTTTAAGAAAAAAAAATCTATTATTTTAGGTTTATAGTAATACATTCTAGTTAATGATAAAAAATTGCTATGAAGAAGTTTGAACATGTAACAATTCTTTTTTTAGATTTTATACTTAGGAAACAAATTATTTTATATGAGATAAGCTAATTTGATTTATGTTAGAATCATATGAATTATTAAAGTGACTTGGTTGAAATTTGTAAGATTAGAATTTGTGAAAATCATGAGAGTGTAACATGTTCTATGGTATTTTGTGTTTGAACAAATATGATGATTAGAAATGTTGAGAAATTCAAGTATAAACTTAAGCCTTACAATGAGTAAGAAGGAGGAAGTTGAACAACATATAAAGAAAAAAATACTCATAACCTAATCTTTTAAGGTTTTAGGTTAAAATTGGTGTCAATCTTTTTTATGAGTTGGACTCATGCTTCATTGGTATTGTCTCTTATATTAGTGAATCCATCTTCAAAGATTCAACAGTAGTATCAGAGTTGTGATAAACGGTAATACGTAAAAAGACCACTAGTGAGCTCGAAGGGATGTATCAGTACCCATAACCTATTGTGTTAAGGTTTTTGGTTGAAATTGGTGTCAATCCTGGATTGGATTCATGTCTCATTGATATTGTCGAACCAAAATAAGTCTTGAAAATTCTATAAATTTTTATTTCTCTATAATTTATTTTGAAAATGAGATTACAAATCAAAGTTCAAGTATAATAGTTTCTTTTTAAACAATAATTTAATCGTTCAAGTGATAATTTTTTTTAATCAAATAACTTCTTGCCACTCAAATCAATTGAAAAAAATAAATAAATAATTTTCTTGAGATCTTATTTAGATGATAATTTTAATGTTTAAGTGTTGATGAGTAATATATGTTTTAAAATATATCCTTTCTTATATATCGCGTTGTTAATAAATGACATAATTGTATTATATACGAATGTGTTTCAAAGAAATGGATGTATTAAAATCCATGATTTGAAAAGATAAATAATGATTATGACTATAATATTATAATATTTGGTGTGGATTAAGTTTGATATGAAAACAAATAATTATTTGAGAAGTATTATTACATATTAATGCATGTGTTTATTTAGGTAATCGTTACGAAATATCTAAATTTTATTAGTATTTTTTACTCACATAAATTTAGGTATCAAGTGGTAAACCGGTGATGAAGGTTCTAACCATCTAGTTAAAGATAAAAGTGATCATTGTAATTCGATAAATATACATGTCACTAATGAATCATCCTATATATATTAGGAGGGAATGAAAGTGATCATTATAGCTTGATAAATACAAATGTCATAACCAAATCATATTGAAGTTGTAAGTATATATATGTTATTTGTGAAAATGCCAAGTGTAGATATTGAAAACGATGACACCTTTTGACGATTGTGATTTTGGAGTCATCATCCAATGTATTGCAGTGACATTTTTTAAAATAAGAACAATCACATAATGATGGTTGTTTAATAACCATTATTATATAGGACATACGATGACGAGTATTTAATAATTGTCGTCATATAAAACATACAATGATAGTTATTAAATAATCATCATCAAATGTGGATGACAACAACTCTTTAACGACGATTATATTTTAATCGTCATTGTATGTCTTATATGATGAGGTTATTAGTAATAATCATCGCCATCTGTTCTTAAACCTATTCTCGTGCACCTTCTTCCCTCACTTTGGTCGCCTCCTCTTTCCTCCCTCGTACCTCCTCCTTCCTCCTCCTTACGTCTCCTCTTGCTCACTCCCTTCATTCCCTGCATCTTTCTCTCTCTCTCTCTCTCTCTCTCTCTCTCTCTCTCTCTCTCTCTCTCTCGTTGTCATTGTCGGTCATCTCCCCATGCCCTACATCTCCCCGTGTCGTGCCCTCATCTCCTTGCCCTTACGTCACGTGCGTCTCACCCTGCATACCTCTTTCGGTCCCTGCATTCTCCCTCTCGCTCTTACAGTGGCTCTCTCCCTCTCATTGTTGCCTCTCTCCCTCTAGTCGTGCTCTCTCGTGGTGGTCCGTGAACATTGGTTAGTGGTGGTCTGTGAGAGCTCATTCTTCCTCTCTAGTAACTATTTTGTTTCAATTAATGTATGGATAGATTTAGGGTTAGCATCATGATGATTGATAGTAATATGAAATTTTTTTGAACAAATTTGTGTTGAATCTAGGGATATCTGATCCTCGACAAATTATATTGTTAACTGAATTATGTAGTTGTGTATGCATTACAAAAGCTAGAAATGGATAAAAGTTGAATTAATTGTGCCTGCATAACTGATGAGTACGAGAAAGGAGTAGAGGAATTTTTATTATTTTCACAACGGAACACTTTGACTAGTGCTAGTGATGGAAGATTTAGGTGTGCATGTGTTAATTGTCTTAATGGAAGATTGCTAAGTGTTGAGCAAATTAGGGAGCATCTTTTATGTGACGATTTTCTTAAAATTACACAAATTGGATATGACATAGTGAACTATTAAATTTGTCATGTGTAAATGAATCTTATCACCATTTAGTTGATTCAACAATGGATGATCGACTAGAGGACATGATTCGTGATGTTGAAGTAGAATCTTTTGCTCAAGCGCCTGTGTATGAAGATATGTGTAACAATGTAAAGACTCCACATTATCCTGGTTTAAGTAATTTCACATGGTTGTCAACAGTTTTAAAATTGGTAAATTTAAAGGCAATGAACGGTGGATTGATAAAAGTTTCACTGAATTACTTCAGTTGTTGAAGGAAATGTTTCCAGAAGAAAATACACTACCCAATCCTAATTATGAGGTGCAAAAGATATTTTGTCCAATGGGTATGGAGTATAAAAAGATACATGCATATCCTAATGATTGTATTTTATATAGAAATGAGTTTGAAGAGTTGAAAAGATGTCCAATTTGTGGGTTATCTCATTACAAAGTGAAGGATAATAATAAAGATAATAGTGAGAACATTACTATTAAGGGACCCCTTGCCAAGTCCATTTGGTATCTTTCAATAATTTCAAGGTTTAAGCGTTTGTTTGCAAATCCTAAAGATGCTAAAAACCTTAGATGGCATGCAGATGGGAGGACATGTGATGGATTGATTCGTCATCCAGTTGAGTCTATGCCATGGAAAGAGTTTGATAATGAGTTTCCCGAATTTGGTGTTGAGTCAAGAAATCTTAGGCTTTGATTGACTACTGATGGAATGAATTTTTTTAGTAATCTAAGTACTAATCATAGTTCCTGGTTTGTTTCGCTATTTATTTACAACCTACATCCAAGCTTGTGTATGAAGTGTAAATACAGAATATTGTCTATGATGATCTTGAAAGTGATGAAGATCTTATTGAATCATTTGATAAAATGAAGATCTTGTGGATTTGATGAAGTCAAAGGATAATCTAATGAAGTCAAAGGTTACTTGGGTTAAAAGGGTAGAGTGATTAGTGAGTCTGTATTTATACATAGGTATAATCATTCATATCTCTCTGCTGCATGAGGTTTCATCATTTGAAAGAATTTAAAAATGCCTCTAAATATGTTTTTAATCCATTAAAAACCAAAGTAATCGGTTAAATTATTTTTAGGAAATTGTTTTAACTGATATTATATGAGCTTTATCAATTAAAATGTTCTTAAAACTTACATAACAGATTTTTAACTGATAGGTTTTTTAAATAATCGATTAAAACCATTTAAAACATTCACTAGAACTGTTTTAATCGATACACTTTTGAATTAATCGATTATTTTCATTAAAGGAGTTTTTGAAAACATTCTCGCAGTGTTTTAACCGATATAATTTCGAAATAATCGATTAAAATAACTTGAAGTATTTTGAAAGATGTTCAGTCAAGTATTTTAATGGATGTAAATTCGAAATAATCGATTAAAATAATTTGAAATATTTTGAAAGGTATTCTGTCAGAATTTTAATTGATGTAAAATCGAATTAATTGATTAAAACAGCTTAAGGAACTTTTTGCTAACTATTTTAATCGATTAAAACTTGTT